ACGTGGTCCAAACGGATTTGCTTGCGCGCGCCGCCCAGGAGCAGCTCCCCAGTGCTACCAGCAGAGGTGACGGCCGCGATGTCGTCCTTGACCCGGGAGAACTCTTTCTCCTCGGCGAGCGCCCTGTCAGCCGCACGCAAGGGGGCCCGCCAGCCCGCGGCGAGGCGGGCCCACGCCGTGAAGATCCTTCCCCAAAGATAATCGTCGGCTCTTCGTGTCCACGCGCCCCCGCCCCGTCGGCGCGACCGCCGTCGTCTACGGTCAAGCGGGGGGGGGGTCCCAGGGGCCTCACTCACTAGTCGGCCAGGTGTTTTTTTCTCTGGATAATCGCCCCCTCGCCCCTCCGATGCCTGCGCGGGGCCCTGGGGGCACGTCAGGAGAGTCCCAGAGAAACCACCCAGGGGCCTCCGGAGGCCCCCAACAATTTCCCCAAGATGCCCCTCAGAGGCCCCCCAAGAGGCCAACGTCGGCGCCCAGAACTGCCCGCCAAGCGAAACCCGAACAAACCCATGGAAATTCGTTGCAAGGCCAGAAAGAAAAAAAACACAGTGCGCCCACACGTTGGGGAAACAGGAGCCGGCCGAAGCGCACTGGAAAGCGTGACCCCCTGAGGTCCGCGTGGGCGTCGGGGAATCCCACGGCGAGACCCACTTGCTGCGTCGCCAAAAAAAAAACGCGTCCCTGGCGCGAACCGGCCACTGCAGCTGAAACAATATATATATAACTAATTTTTGGGGCCCTGTCAAAACCATCGACAATGTGACTCCCCGGGGCAGCCCGTGCGAGGCAGGCGGTCTTCTGGGGAGGGCGGCCGTTGAAATCGATAACAAAGTAGCACGGCCACAACGCGCCCCTGGGACGAAAAGGGGAACCGCCTGGGACCCACATCATCACGAAAGTTTCAAGATGTTACTGAACGATATCGAAAACGTCACTCCCCGGGGCATCCGCGCGAGCGCCAGTAGAATAGGCGGATCATTATGGGGGGCACTGTCAGAGCGCATTGTTGGCGCGGCTGCTCTTCCCCAGGGCCCTCATGGCAGCCTCAGGGAGGAGAAGAAAGAGTGGGCGGGGAGGGAGAGCTGAAGGAGAAAACGATAATGGTCTCTCGGGTCATCCCGAATCGCCTTCGAACGCCCCCAGGGCCTCTTGAGGGCCCCAGGGTAATGTTCGATTATATGGAAACCCCGCCCGCCCTTCGCACGCTTTTGTTTGCGCCTGGGGGTGGCGGCGGTAAGGGCGAAGCCTTGGGGATGATCGCCTGGGCCCACGACTTGTGGGCGTCCCACCACTGCTTGCCGGTCTGCTTCTGGGATTTGAAGGAGCGCAGCGACTTGGAAGCCGCGGCGTCCCAATGGTCGAACATCAGGCCGCACTCGTACTGATGCTGGGACGCGAGGTCGAGGCGGACAATCATTCCCATGATGTGCGCCATCACCATCGCGTTCTCCAAATTGCGCCCGGGGGCGATTTGCAGCAAGATCTTGAACAGAGCCACGATATTCCTCTGATTGACGCTGTCAACTGCGAGCGACCACATTTTGATCTGCTCTGTCGACCGCTTCGTGTCCATCAACGCCACGAGCGCCTCCTCGAGAGCATCGTCCTTCACTTGGGTTTTATTTTTCACCTGCAATTTGTTGATCTTCGCCTCTGGATCCCTGTACATTTTGCGAAGGTCTTGGTAATCCGCCAACCCGCGCGGGTCTGCCAGGATTGGCCCGACCGGAAAGGAGGGGGGACAGGAAAGACGAAAAACGTCCCTCCTTTCCACCCTCCTTGTCGGTCTTCTTTGCGAAATGAAACAGGAGGGGCGGGGGCCGCCCCCCCGCAGAGAAAAATCTTGATTCCCAGGGATCCTTCGGCGCCCCCGGTGTGTCGCCAGGAGCACCATGAGAATGTCAGGGCCTCCGGGTACCTCTTTAAACCCACAGGGAAATGGCATGATCCCCGGTGGTCTGTTCCGACCTCCGAGCATAATGCCTGACCTTTGTTCGAAGGGCCCGCCTACTCTCACGCGAAGTTGCGCCGTAACCCCGCGATGGCCGTTCAGTTGCAGGGCGAATCACGTAAATTCTTGGCGCTTCGCGTATCCCCACCAGCCCATCCGGTCTTGGAGCCTTCTGGGGGCCCCCATTGGAGCCACTGGGCGGCCCTCTTGGGGCCCTCCTGGAGCTCCTTGGGAGGGCCCACCGATCCCTCGGAGGGCCCCAAAAAGAGACCCAGAGATATTCAGATGACCATGGCCATATGAATATCTCTTTCGGCCGTCTTGGAGCCCTCTGGGGGCCCGTTTGGAGCCACTTGGCGGCCCTCTTGGGGCGCTCCTGGAGCCTCTTGGGAGGGCCAAACGAGCCCCCGGAGGGCCACAAAACGGGGCCCAAGAGATATTCAGATGACCATGGCCATCTGAATATCTCTTTCGGCCGTCTTGGAGCCCTCTGGGGGCCCCCCTGGAGCCACTTGGCGGCCCTCTTGGGGCGCTCCTGGAGCCTCTTGGGAGGGCCCACCGAGCCCCCGGAGGGCACCAAAAAGGGGCCCAAGAGATATTCAGATGGCCATGTCGATCTGAATATCTTTTTCGGCCGTCTTGGAGCCCTCTGGGGGCCCGTTTGGAGCCACTTGGCGGCCCTCTTGGGGCGCTCCTGGAGCCTCTTGGGAGGGCCCGCCGCGCCCACGGAGGGCCCCAAAAAGAGGCCAAGATACTTGGCCCACGGCCAAGTATCTTGGCGCTCTAACTGGTCGCGGGGCGCCCCTCCCAGGCCCAGGGGAAGGGGTAGGGGGAGGGGTAAACCCCTCCCCCGAGCAGGGGTAGGAGGGGTTGTGGAAAGAGAGAAGACAAAATTCGTTAAACCACCTACGCCCAAAGGGCTGGTGGGACTTTGGAGCCTTCGGGGTTGGCGGGCACGGTGGTGGCGGGCAGCCAAATGGTTAGTATTTTCCCATCGTGGTGCCGTCGAGCCTGTTCATCTTGATCCTGTCGTGACACGTGAGGCCGTCTACCTCGTACACAAAGATCTCCTCGAACGAGAAGCCGGGGAATTTTTCATCGCAGATTTTAATCACATTCTGCTCTTCCGTCCGCCCACCATGGCTCTTGTCAGGGGTGGCATTCTCCTCGATATCCAATTTGTCTACCAAGCTGGTTGCTTTCTGGCTCTTCCCGGCCGCCTTTTTGGCGGCGACCTCCTTTTTCGTGGGCGTGTGTACCGGAGGCGCCTTCTTCGCCTGAGACCCCGCCTTGGCGGCCGCGGCTGCCCTCTTGACCATGGTCGCGCGGCTCTGGTGCGGTAGCGACCGTGGCCCCAGGTGCGGCGGCGATGGTGCCCCTCGAGCACCCGGCGGCAGCGGAAACGGAAGGGGAGGGGACGGCAAGGTGGTTTGTCGAGGAGGCCCGTACGTGAAAGTCCCACACAAGAGCTTGGGGGGTACCAGACGGTTCTCGGCACGGAGGCCTGTTGTGCAGGACTCGGAATATATAAATGCGCCTCTACGTTGCGCCATCAAGGGTATTATCCCCTCCCCCTATTGTTGTGTTTCCGCCAACTTCCGCAGAACATCCACGAGGCCAGCCCGACGAGGGAATCCCAGAAGCGCCCGGCACACTCGCCCGACAATCAAAGAAGCAATCGGAATCGAACCGCCTGGCACTCTCGCCCGACACCCGGGTTGTCAGAGGGGGACATCCACATGCCAAAGCTTGCTCGGCTCGGGAATTCGCGCAATGACTGCGCCCAGGCGCCCCCGGGGAACCCCCAGACGTGGAGTACTGGATGCGCGCGCGGACGGCGGGCATCCTCGGCCGAACTCCGACCAAGCGCGGGCAAGACGTGAAGCCTCACGGACGCGTAGCTCTCGCCAAGACCGGCCAAGCCATGCGAGACCAATATCGCGGAGTCCGAGGCGACGTCCGCGCAACCCGGTTTTTGGACGGCCCCGGGGGGCCCCAGGGGCCGTCCAAAAACTTGGTGTCCCGCCCCCCCGGGGCCGTCCAAAAACTTCGTCGCCCGCCCCCCCGGGGCCGTCCAAAAAACTTCGTCGCGCGGCCCCCTGGGGCCGTCCAAAAACTGGGCCCGTGCCATCCACGAAAACCAAAATCCAAAAACTCTGCCAAAAACGATGTCTGCAACCTACCCGGGGTTCCACTTCCAATTTTGCATCCAATTTTTTTACAATGCGATTCCGATTGTAAAAAAATTAGATGAGTTTTTGGATTCCGTTCCCCGGGCCGTTCGCGGGGTCCCCGGCGGGCGGACGGGGCAGGGGAGGGGGAAGAGGAGGGAGGAGGAGGAGGGGGGGGGAGGGAGGGAGGAGGAGGAGGAGCAGGAGGAAGGAGGAGGAGGAGGAGGAGGAGGAGGGAGGAGGGGGAAGGAGGGAGGGAGGAGGAGGAGGAGGGAGGAGGAGGGAGAGGAGGAGGGAGGATGGGGAGGGAGGGAGGGAGGGAGGAGGGAGGAGGGAGGAGGGGGAGGGAGGGAGGAGGAGGAGGAGCAGGAGGAGGAGGGAGGAACAGGAGGAGGAGGGAGGAGGGGGAGGAGGGAGGAACAGGAGGAGGAGGAAGAGGGAGGAGGGGGTGGAGAAAGAGGGGAGAGGAAGAAGAAAGAGGGAGGAGAGAGGGAGGGAGGAGGAAAGGGAGGGAGAGAGGAGGAGGAGCGAGGGAGGGGGGAGGAGGGAGGAGGGAGGAGGGGGAGGGAGGGAGGAGGAGGAAGAGCAGGAGGAGGAGGGAGGAGAAGGAGGAGGAGGGAGGAGGGGGAGGGAGGGAGGGTGGAGGAGGAGGAGGAGGAGGAGGGAGGAGGGGGAGGAGGATGAGGAGGACGAAGGAGGGAGGGGGAGGGAGGGAGGAGGAAAGGGAGGGAGGGAGGATGAGGAGGGGGAGGACCGAAGCACGCGCAACTGCCAAGAGGCCAAGGATTGACCCCAACGGAGGCGGCCAGCTCGAGGCCGCCCCCGCGGCTTCGTGTTTTTTTTTTTTTTCTGCCCCCAACCCAATTTTCAGGGGCCCATCAGACTCCCGCGAACGGCACCTTCCTACGGATCCCTGTGATGCGATGGCGCACGACTGGGGCGCCCGTGTCACAGAGGCGGACAATCTCCGCAGGCTCGACGAATTGGCGGGCCACCTCCTCCCAGTCGACGGGGGCCCCGGCATCGTGCAGCCAGCGTGTGTAGAAGAACGTCATCCGGGCGATCCAAAACTGAACGATGGTTACTGCTGTCTCGTCCCCGCACGCCTCCGCGCTCAAGGTGCACGATTTCCCCATGCCAGACGCGAGACAGAAGTCGCAGGGCGGACCCGCCCGAGCTTGTCCTCTGTACCCGTCATATGCCACGCCATGGTGTTCCAACAACCATTTCCCTCCGCGCACCGTCAGGTAGAACGGGTCCTCGCGATCACCATCGGCGCCGACATCTGCTCGGACGTCCCACAAGTCATCCAAGGCGTCATCAGCAAGAGTGATGGATCCGGCCTCTTCTCGGTCGGCCCCGGGGGCACCAGGGCCGCGCGCGGGCCGAGGCAGCTTGACAGCGTCGCGAATGTGCTCCCACATGAACTCTTCGGTCATGTGCGGCTCCCAGACAATATCGGGGGCGGCCGCGCGGGCCCTAGCACGATCAGGGGCGTCTGTCTCTGATCGGTACCAAAAGCAAACACGTGAGATCGACAACCAATCCGCGTCTGAATGCAAGGATCCGCCTCTCCCTCTGGACACGTCATGCAAAACCATCACGTTCGTGGCGTCGCGAAGAAGAGCGTCGTCGGAGAAGACGAAAGATGTGCTCCCCCATGTAAAAGTCCACCTCCAGACATGGAGTTGTGCATCCTGGTAAACCTCTGCCCCGAGCCATGGCTCCGGGACGTCTTCCTGCAAGTAGCACTCGGAGAAACAGACCAAAGCAGGCGACTGGAGGGCGAACACGAACATGAAATATCTATCCACGCCGTCGACGTGGAACTTCCACACTGTGTCCATGAACTCATTCCGGTTGGCTGCAGCCACCGATTGCCATAGGGGGCCACCCTCTGGGGCAGGCCCGCGTTGGGAGAGCGATTGCAAGAATTTCTTTCGAGACTCGGGGGGGTCGCCCACCAAAGCCACCGCGCGCTTGCGACTGTCGGAGATCATGTCGCGCCCATGCTCCATCCCCTCGCAGAAAGTGTTAAAGCGAGCCACGTCAGTCTCTGATAACCTGCACATGCCCAGGCACACGGACGCCTCCCCCTGCTTGAATAGTTTCTCGCGTTCCTTCTCCAACGTGGCGATCTGGCCTTTGATCTTCGCTCTGAGCGCTTTACGCTTGTCGATAGAAGATTGCCGGAGCCGCTCGGCCGCAGGGCCAAACTGTGCCCTTCCCAACAAGCTCTGCGCCCTCCATCTGGCACCGTGCTTCTGGAAAATGGTGCGAATAGCAAATCGGTGCATCGGGCGCCCCTCTGCCTTCCACGCCCGGGCCTGCCCCGCAAGAGCCGACACGAAGGCATGCCGGGGCGTTATATTCTGAGGTTGATGCTTTCGGAGTCGCTGCAATCGGGCCCGCAAGGCGTCGATCTGTGCACTATTGGGGCACGCCCCGAAGAGCGGCTTGCACTGGTGGACCATTGCGCGGGATGCTAACATGGAAGGGCCTTGGCGGGGGTGGTATCGCAAAGCCATGGTGTGGGCCTGGCGCCCTTGCTCAACACACCTGGAAGAACAACTGACCTTGGAAAGCTGCTCAACGACCCGTATGATCTCTGAACGGTCGCACCCAATGTGCATCCAGTAATGTAGCTTTTCAGTGGCCCCATCCTTCGGGGGATCTGCCAAATTATACAGCGTATCGAGGTTGGCCGATATGTCGCCCCTGCAGAGACACCAAGGATAACCACGGAACTCGCGGAGCTTGAAACTGATGTAGCCTGCCTGAACGCTGGCGGATTTGACCAGACGGGATCGAACGTCGTGAGCAGCGGCACCACACAACGACGAAAACACATCGATGAGCTCGTCGCTGTAGCCGAGGATGCGGTCAGTCTCGGCAGACAACGCGGCGTCGATACAATCAATGCGCGTGGCCAACCTGTCGTCCTTCAGAATCCAATGTAATGGCCGTTCTGACACCATCGATGTGGCGGAAACGACAACAATCATTTCTCTCACGGCGTCCGTCAGATTTTGGAACCCTTTCAAATCCGCCACCGTACCTCGCACGAGTTGGAGTGTCCACAGGTCCTCACGCATTATCTGTAAAGTTCGTTGTATTGCAACATTAGAAGCCCCAAGAGCTCAAGTCTCATATTAGTCGAGCGTTCCTGGGCGTTCCTGGGCGGTCCTGGGCTGACTCGCGTGGGTTGTCGAGAACCCAGAGGGCCCCAAGACGGGCCAATAGGGGCCAAAAAAAACGCCTGACAGGGCCCAAGGGGTGTCGAAGACGGCACAAGAGCGCCCCCAGACGCCCAAGATTGCCCCAAGACGGCCGAGGAAGCCTCTAAGAGGCCCCTGGAACGCTCCAAGAGGGCTGCCACGAAGGCCCCAAGAAGCAAACGTCTTTGATTTGCACCATGCGCTTGTTGCGTTTTGCAGTTCTCGCCTTTTCGGGCTTCCGACGCGCTGAAACAGCCCCACATGCAACCGATATCGGCCCATGATGGCCCAAGAGGCCCCTGAGAGAACCCCCAAGACGGCCCAATCGGTCCTCACGACGGCCCAAGAGGCGCCCAAGACGGCCCAAGAGGACCCGAACAAGGCCCGACGAGAGGGCCACGAGGAGGAACGCTGACCGAAAAAACAAGCATTCCGCACCGGAAGGCGCCCAGGAAAGCGAAAAAACCCAAGAGGCCCGACGGTCCCCAAGAGGCCCTCAAGTGACTCGAACAAGCCCCCAGGAGGCCCAAAATACGCCCCCACGAGACCCCAACACGGCCCCCAAGGGGCTTCTAAACTGTTTGCAAGAGGCCCCCGAGCAGCATCACACGAAATCCCAATTCATATCCAGAAGGCCTCGGACCCACAACCCAGGCACAGTGGCAGGATGGGCCGAAGGCAACCATATAATAATCCCCCAATCCAACAGACGTCAACAAGAACTCTACGTCCGCCACCCCCCGCCGGGAGGCCACCCTGCTTCGCAGATCTTGCTCTGGCAATTATGCAACAAACGATCTGGAAAGACATCGTCGCGAGGTTCGGAAGCGTTCCGCCTTTCACTCGAGTGTAACGCGGCCCCGGGAAAAGGAGCGAGAGGGCGGCCCCCGCGATGTTCGACTGGCAACCCGACGAGCCATCGCTCGTGCAAACATCCCGCCCGCCCCTCAACTTGGTCGGCAAAACTCATAAGACCGTGACTTCGGGCACACAACGCCGACGACAACGGCCACGACAACGACGAAGGCGGCGCCGCCGCCGACGACGACGACCACGACAACGACGACAATACGACGACGAGCACGACGACGACGACGACGACGCCGACGACGCTGACGACGCCGACGACGACGACGAGAACGACGACGGCGACGACGACGACTACGACGCCAGCAACCACGGCGACGACAACCACGACGACGACAACTACGACCACGACGACGACGACGCCGACGACGCTGACGACGCCGACGACGACGACGACAACTACGACGACGACGCCGACGACGACGACGACGGCAACCACGCAACCAATCGACGAGCCAGCCAGCAGCGAGCAAGGCAAATGTTCAGTTTGCGTGGGTCTGGGGGGGGCGGCGGCGCAATGCGGAACTTGTTATATAATCTGACAACCCGACGAATAGTGAGCCAAGGAGGGCGCGGCAGCACTCTCCAGCCCTGCACCACCGCGACGTAGACCACGTCGAGAAGGTCCACAGGCGCGACATGACGTGAGCGACCTGACACGCGCGACAACTCTGCGTCGCCACCGCGCCTGGGCAGGGCTACCTTGGGCCTCAGCGCAGTGCGCGCGCCCTCCTTCCTGGCCGACGCCAAGAGGGCGCGCGCGCCATCCTGGGGCCCAGGGCCCCCCTGGCTAGGCACGGCGGTTTGAACACGAATGCCGCGCAAGAGCCTTGTCTGGCCAATCATGGTCGCCTTCGTACCGGGAATGCAAGAGAAGACGCCCGTTCTCGAATCTGACCTGCAACTGTACCAATTGATCCACCAATGAATCTTTCGCGACAACCACCGCCCAAAACTCTCTCAATACGTGGGAAGGGCCACTGAAATCTTCAAACCGAACGCGATCCCCGAGCCAATCACCAAGATGCTGCACTAGATCTCCGTACGAGTTTCTCAAACTAGCAATGGCAACCCACATATTTTTCTGAAGCTCGCGGTCGGTGAAGGCCGACACCGCCCACCGCAAAGCATTGTGGCAATGGTGCAAAGAACAAGTGACGCACGTGAACAAACTCCGTTGGATGCGTTCAATCGCGTCTTCCTCGTCCAATTCGCCCTCAAGGTATATGTCGTACGCAGCATGCGTTTCCCTGGCGTGCCTTTCAAGGACGCTCCGCAACGCACCGTCCCAACAATGATGAGAAATCGTCCACCCTTCATGCTTTTGGCGAACCATTGGGACGCTGGCGAAACACGAATAATGCGCCCAACCACCTTTGTTTGCCAACCGCCGACCGTCCGTAGCGAGAACATGGGCGCCCCCGGCCTCGTTTAGAATGAATCGACGTTCGACGAGCCACTCTTTAGTCTCCTGGCCGTACCGAACTTGAGCACCCTCATCGCTGGATGTTGCGGCAACATACCTGGCGAAAGTCCGGTGGCCAGTCCCGTCGCTAGAATAAAAATCGATCAACACTTGGTCTGAATTATCTCGAATGAACCGGTTCCTTTCCGAAAGGCTGAAATTGGCGAGGGCGTCCGCTAGAAATTCGATGCGTCGTTCTCTTTGTTTGTCAAAGACTTCAGAAGGCTTGTAAGAAAGAGCCTCGCTCGAAGCCAACATGCAAATATGAAAGGGTACTGTAACGGAAAGGAACATTGCTGCTGAGTGAAACAGCTACGGATGTCGTTGATGTGACCACCGACGTCGTGCCAAGCACTCGGGCAGGCGAAAATCTTCCTGCGATCTGCCTCAAGCGACCCCCCATACTTCGAGGAGGGACCCAATAAGAATCGGGCCCGACCGAATCCCACCAGCCCTCTGGGCGTAGGTGGTTTAACGGACTTTGTCTTCTCTCTTTCCACAACCCCTCCTACCCCTGCTCGGGGGAGGGGTTTGCCCCTCCCCCCACCCCCTCCCCTGGGCCTGGGAAGGGCGCCCCGCGACCAGTTAGAGCGCCTAAGATTGCCCAAGACGGCCCCAAGAGGGCCTCAGAGACCCCAAGATGGCTTCCAAGATGGCTCGAGATAGCTGAAGATGGCTCAAGATAGCCTCCGACATATCTCCAAGAGGCCCCAAGACGACCCCAAAACAGTTTCAAGTGCCCGCCGAGCCCTCCAAGGACCCCCTCAAGAGGCCAAAATGGCTCCAAAACTTAAGGGAAATCAATGTTTTTGGCGTTCCCGCCTTTTCGCTTCCGATGGGCCTCGAAGCCTCAAGATGGCCCCAAGATGGCCCGGAGAGTCCCAAGTGGGGCCCAAGAGGCCCCCAAGAGGGCCCCAATAGCGCCCAAGAGCGCCCCAAGAGCGGCCCAGGAGGGCCCCAAGACGCCCTAAAAGAGCCCCAAGAGGGCGCCAAGAGGGCCCCAAGAGGACCCCAAGAGGACCCCAAGAGAGCCCCAAAATGGTTCCAAGAAACTTCCGAGAACTTCTCACAGGACCACAGATGTCGGTTGGGGCCCACGGGGGTGCGTGTGACGTTTTTCCGCATGAGCCCGCGGGGGCCGCGAGGACGCATGGGAGACTGTCGGATCGGACAGATGCCCACTGCGCTGAGCACGAATGATGGGGCACTCTGTGGGGATCGTCTGTCCCCGACCGTTCAAGGAGCGGGGGGGGTGCTCCTCCCATCTCTTCCCCCCTCCTCCCTCGTCTGGAGGGGGCAGCAGCAGGAGCATGAGTCGAACGTCTATCGCCGAGGCCCCCGCTGCCCTTCCCCTGGCTCGCTGCTTGGAGATTTCCGGGCCGTGGCCTCCTCATTGCGACGGCTGGATCCGCATCGGAATCATGGTCGTAACGCGCTCTTGTGCAGTGTTTGGTATTTGTTTGGTGGGCGGCGGGGGTGCACACTGAGCACACCTTGAGGCCCAAGGTCCGAGCAGCGGCAGCGGCGGCGGCGGCGATGACGACGACGCAACGACGGCGACGGTGACGGCGACGCCCCCAGAAGTATCTTCTCTCCTCGTCCCCTCCTCGTTCCTTCGCTCCTCCCCCCGCCTCCCTCCTTCGACCTGTGCCGCGCAGACCGTCAGCAACCTTCCCCAGACACTTGGCCCCTGGCGACGCAAAAAACTGCAACGATCCGTTTTTTTACGTTTTCGGCATCTGGGGGCCGTTTCCAAGACCCGTGGCCGTTAAACAATTATCCAGGACGACAAAACGGTCCCAGGGAGAGGGTCCAGGCAGGGCGCTTGGGGGGGTCGCGGGGCATGGATAAAAATGTTGGTCCCTGGAAGCCGGATTGTTTCAAACCAAGCCGCCCTTCCGCCCCACCGCCCCCCTCGTGGAGTTCTGGCGCGAGCAGGGGCGTGGACAAAACGTCGGCGTCTTACCCCCCACGCCCGACGGCCGCACCGACGTGGCGACGTGTACGGGCCTCGGACCCCACACATCCGTCGAGTTCCCCCCCCCCCGACCCTGTCCTTGGGGAGCAGTTTGTCGTCCCCGATCCGATTCTGACGGCCCCAGGGCCCGAAAACGACCCCTGGAGGCCGAAATCGAAGGACAACCGATGGGATTGATGCAAATCATGTCGTCGGATGTGTGGGCCCACGGCCGCAGCGACGTGGCGACGCGAGCGAGCCTCGGGCTGTCGGCAATTGCCCGCCCGGAGCGGGCCACGACGACGACGGCGACGACGGCGACGACGCGACGACGATGACGACGAGGGGACTCTGGGACGGAGCTGGGGGCCCCCAAATGGGGTCGCGAGCTCCAGCATCAGAACTGGGTCGAAGGCCCAAAGACGGTGTCCATCGCACCAGGATGGGGTCGAGAGCTCCTGCTCCAGGGTGGGTCGACCAGCAGGGTGCGGCGTAGAGCTCCAGGACGGGGTCGAGCTCTCCGCCTCTTGAAAGAGAAAAATATGAGGAGCCCCAGAACCGTCGAACCCCGAAAGACGGCCCGAGGCTGATGTGCCCCTCCTCGGAAATTCTTGGCGCTTCACGTATCACCACCAGCCCATCCAACAACGGTGCCAAGGCGAGTTGAGGTGTTGTTCTGGAGGAACTTCGTTCCTCAGAATGGGCCATATTGGGGCCCTCCTGGGGCTCTTTGGGGGGGTCTGAGAGGTCTCTTGGGGCAGTCTTGGGCCCTATGGCTCAAAAGAGGGGGGGTAATCAATTCTGGTCCCCCCCTCGGAGGCAAGGGATTCCGACGGGCTGCGCGGCCCCAGACATCCGGCGTCGCAACTGTTTTGTGGTTTGGTAAGAGGAGCGAGGCGTTACGGCCGCCACCCTGCGATCGATCGAAGGCGAAAGGAAGCCCCGAAAAGAAGGGAAGGAGGAGGAGGAGGAGAAGGACGAAGAGGTTTGGGACAGAAGCGACAGCTCGTGGCCGTCACCCAGCGATCGAACGAACGAGGAAGGTGTAGGGAGGAGGAAGAGTTTTTTTGTGAGCGGACACGAGAAACATTTGGAACGCATGCGAAGTAGCGCTCTCGAGGCCGCCCCAGGAGGGCACCAATCGTCTCAAAAAAACACACCCGATGAGGCTCAAAATTGCTACAAGAAGCTCCCTGAAGAACCCGGCTTGGCCATTGCTGGCACACCTGCTTCACTACACGGTCGAACCATGGCCACACGAACGCCGACGCGGCGATAGGAAAACGCGAAGGACTACGGTCGACCTAGGACACGAGAACATCCTGAAAGAACATGAGCCCCTCCGCCAGCCCAAACACCCAAAAACATAAGATCACCACGGGTACCCTTCCGTTGCGCCACCCGACTTTCACGTGGAATATAGAAAAACCTATACGATATGCGAGGCGCGCGCGCGCTCTGGTGACCCACGGAGGGGTGGGTCACCAAAACTCAATGGTCGAAACCCAATGTACAATTTCATTCTCTGGGCCCAAGAGGCGGCCATATAAACGTGGAATATAGAAAAACCTATACGATATGCGAAGCAAGCGCGCGCGCGCGCGCGCGCTCTGGTGACCCACGGGGGTGGGCCACCAAAACTCAATGGTCGAAACCCAATGTAAAATTTCATTCTCTGGACCCAAGAAGCGGCCTTAAAAACATTGGATATAGAAAAACCTATACAATATGCGAGGCGCGCGCGCTCTGGTGACCCACGGGGGGGGTGGGTCACCAAAACTCAATGGTCGAAACCCAATGTAAAATTTCATTCTTTGGGCCCAAGAGGCGGCCATTTAAACGTGGAATATAAGAAAACCTGTACAATATGCGAAGCAAGCGCGCGCGCTCTGGTGACCCACGGGGGGGTGGGTCACCAGAGTCGGCCCAGGGTCCTGCCGACTCCGCGGACGCATGTAGCCGAATCATGAGCCCCGGACCCCAGCCTTACTATAACGAGCGAGCAAAGGCGCCAAACTGAAGAACATCAGAGAGCACCCTCCCCCTGGATGCACAAGAACATCCAACAAACACGAAGAACATTAGGGTGCCCTCCCTGAAACGACCTCGATGTTATACCTCGGTCCGACCGTATGGTAAATTTTGATGGGCATCTCAAGCGGAACTGCGAATCTCGCCTGGTCCACCGTTCGTCGCATAACATAGATGCCATCACTGGCTTAACTCAATAC